CCTGTCCAGGAGACTGTGTCTGGGGGCTATTCTTGACATAGGGTCCATTACTGCCAATATTCTCCTGTTTGGTTGACATGAACAATAGGGGATGAACCAACAATGAGCTCGAGGAGAGCGATGAACATAGTTGAAATAGTGCAAGAAAACCCTTAGACACTGATCTGGGAGAAGCAGTGGGCATCAAGACGAGGTCTCGACTGAGAGAAGAGATGTGACGAGGTCTCCTGCAGACTCTCGATGGCCTCTTCAGGTAAGGGCCACGTGCGCGTGGATCAGAGGCTTCGGGTTTCGGATTGGACTTGCATAAACCTCCGTTTAAACCTGTTTAATGGGTGGTTCTCGAGATCCACCCACCGAGGCAGGCTTAATATCGGTTCGTATGCGTCGATAATGGTTATATTTCAATAATCTACGTACAACATGTCATGCATGTAATAAAAACTAGCTACGCGCGCTCTTATGGATGCCCAGGAGCGCCGAGCAGCGCGTCGACGTCGTGTTCCGGCTCCCAGGTCTACGTGTTCCACCCAAATGCACCCAGTCCAGGCCTGTCAGGGCCTGCATGATGAGCTCACCCTCGCCAGGGTCATCGTTACATACGTCGTAGTGACGCTGCAGGCCAGGGTTCCCGAGAACAATGTATGGGCTTTGCAATGTCCTCGGGTGACGTGGGGGCTGGTGTTGGTATTCGTCGTTGTTGACGTGAGGGTGGGCAGGAGGCTCGCAGCTCGGGGTGGGGTGTGTGCATTGGTGACGGCACCTGTAAAGAAGCTGAAAGAAAAGACAATGTCAGTAATGAATAAATAGACTGTAACGCACCGTGGCGGCGGGCGTCGTGTGTGGTGACGCGGTGGAAGGGTGTCGTTTGTATGTCAGATCACTTTGCAGACATGGCACACGCGAGAGACGTACCACAAGGCTCTCCCCCAACTAGGGCCTGCCCTTTGTGGTCTTTGGCATCTACCCCGGCGCGCATTTGCGGTGCGTAGTCGCGCTTGTGGTCCTGTTACGTTCGAGGATGCTGTTGCGGCTGTCGTCGTAGGACTGCGAAGAGTCTGATGGGCGGTGGGGCGGTCAAGGTGGGTGGTGGTCAATTCAAGGTGAGTGTGACTGTTTGACTGAACGATGGGAATCAGCATCCTTCCCTTTTTGGTATATCATGGAGAATTGGGCCAGCTGTGCCAACGGCACGGGTTCTCAGCTCGTAAACACATGAGGGCACACCGTGAGGTAACTTATTAACAAGTAAGCCACGGAAGGACTTGACAAGGTGTGGCATAGTGCATGATAATAGGGACTAAAGTCAAACTTGAAAAACTTGATTAATCGACGAACATAACATGTGAGCCTATTTTCGGGCCTCTTTGACCTCAACGACAACTCCGAAAATTCTGTACTAGTAACGATGGCGGCACATGGCCAGCAGGGAACTTCACTGCTAATATCACTGGCAGTACAGACGACGTCTGCTATTCTACAGCACCGCAATTTGTCGTTCGCTTTTACCGGAAGCGTTGCATCGCATCTATATGGCGAGGCACTTTCTCTTCCACAAGTGAGTATGCGATTTGTCTACCAGTTGTGTGTTCACAAATCGCACAGAAAGTAGAAATCGCACTCTTTTGTCCAGGGTCAGCCACTTTGATACCGGAGTTGAAGTCAAGTTTCGCACAAAGCCACCCACAGCACTTCACTTGCGTGCTCCCTGCCCGACGGTTACATTTTTACCCGGTCCAGCTTCACATGGGGTCTCTGGAGATTGTATTCAACCTATTCGCCTCCCCAGGAACCCCTGCCCTTGTCATATACAACAATATTCCCCTTGTGCCGTACCCAACTCTCATTCTCCAACAACTCCAGGTCTGGGACACCCTACCAGCCGAGGGCGGGCCAAAATCTGCGCGTGGGGCGACCATCCTGCACATGCTGAATGCGTTACGTGGTCACCCCGAGTGGGAGCACGACGCGACCTTTGATACAAGACTCCATGTCTCCTCGGTGGATCGGGTGGCACGCTTCTTTGCCGCGCACCCGAACTTCAGGAAGGAGTGGCAGCGTATGGGATTGATGCCGCATCGTATTCGCGAAAGGCCAGCGAAGGTACATGATGTAGCACATGAGCTAGTGGGCCGGACGTTGGGGCTGGCCATTGTCGAGTCGCGGACACAGACGCAATCAAATGCGAGTCCAAGCACAAGCGCGATACCTACCAAAACGACATCGACGAGCACGATACCCGCCGCCCCCGCCTCTACGAGCAGCACGATCCCTGTCGTTCCGACAATCAAACCGCCCAAATTATCACGCATGCAGATCCGGCGCCTTGCTGCACACACCGTCGTTGACATCCTCCGCTCGTGCGGCTTCGCCAGCGCCATCTTTGGCAGCATGGCTTGCAAGCTCTACGGGAACCCCCGAATACCCAATGTACGTTGCCACATTTTATTCTCACATACACCACTAACCAGCCCCACAGGACGTCGACGTCCTCGTTCTTCCGCCTTCCCTATCCTCTTCCTGTTCCCTGGCTCCCGACCAAGTGGACCAGGAATCTCTGAAAGAACTGCTCCTCAGTGCCTCGCCCGATTCATTCGTCCTCAAGCCCGCACGCGACCCCAAAGCAGCCTACCGCGTGCTCTGGTTCCTGCCTACGCCCACCGCGAAGCCCACCCCGCACTCAGGCTGCAAGGTCGACATTCTGCTCCCAGGGGTAATGGGACTCCCGAATCTGACGACGGTCCGAGGGGCGGGCGTGACGTGGCGCGGAATGGGTGGAACGGCGCGCGCAAAACAGACCGACCACCTCAACCTCGGCCCCCTCCCCGTCCTCCCATTCCATGTGCTCCTGCTCCAGAAGCTCCAAGCATGGGACGACCACCGCCGCTCCCCGGAGGAGCGGTACGCCAAGAAAGCGCCTGTGGACGTGCAGGATCTTCGGTGGCTGCTTGATGTAGGGGTGCCAAGATACTTGAAGGCTGTCCCGGTGTCGCGTGACGGGACTAAGAAGACGGAATGGAATGCTGTGTGGAGTGATCGTGCGGTGTTCGATGAGGAGTTCGAGGCGCGCTCGAGGGAGCGCGTGGGTGCATTCTGTGAGGTCGCCCCCGAGTCAGTGGGGGCATGGTCGAGGCTGGGGTTTGATCTACGAGTCGGGGTGTTTCGAGAGCCTATAACTTGAGCTTCTGTAGATGTAGAATTGGGATGAGGGTTTTTTGCATATTCTTGTTGTTTAATTTTACTCAAGCTTGTACAGTTACACTTACATCGTGGATATCGGAGAATCGTCACAGAGCCCAGTACTCTGGGTGTTGTTTCCTTCAAGCCTGTGCAAGCTGTAGAGGATGGTTGTGAATCTCGGACTGGAAGGCGCGGAATTGGATGGACAAGAAAAAGGACTCCAGATCTGTTCTCCTAAAATACACTGAAGGGGAATCGAACCCCTGCCGCTTGCTGAACATCAGTGATGGAAGGCAAGCATGATAACCACTTCACCATCAGTGTATGAATGATCCTCAGAGAAAAGCAGACATGTAAGTTGTTCGGGCATATTGCATAGAGGATTGAGAGAAAGATACATGGTCGTAAATGTAGGTGGAGGGTCAGACTCATAGAGAAAAAAAGGCAACTGAGAACGACATAAGACGAGAAAGAAAACAGACCGAGTTCATAGGTGGAGTCAGGTAGTCATCAGTAGCTAGTGAAGGTTCGTAGAGGATCATCAAGATGTCGTAGACGGACAAGGAGAAGGGAAAGAAGAGAAAGAGAGCCGCTGACCAAGTATCATCGGCAAGTAAAAGTGAGCATGAAGCCATGGACAAACTAGAGCGCAGAGGACTGTGAAAAGGAAGAGTCTTGAACGAACATTGCCTCGGAGTAGTCAACATTTTCGTAGAGGTCGGTTAATTCCTCGAGGAAATCGTTGGTATTAATCTGCGATCCCTGGGGCCAAAGGTGTTGTCAAAGGGTCCAGCAGAAGAGTACGAGCATCCAGGAAGCGAATTCGAGTAACAAGCATCAAACTCAGATGGGACCCCAGAGAAGCCGAAGTCACCACAGTTGAAGATACGGCTGAATTGCGCGAAAGACCCGCTGGCGTCCATCTGCGAACCAGTGTCGCCCAACAGACTGGGATTGTAACCTGAATTCGTTGACGAGCAAGTGACACCCAGAAGCTGCATGTCGCGCTCGCGGTCAAGCGCCGTTGTCGTAGCCAAATACTGCTCCAGGTCCAGGTCCCACTGGGCCTGCTTGTCAAAAGAGACTGCCGAATCCGTCGTCGTCGCTGGATACTGCTCGAATTCCTTGGTTTGTTGGGCCCAGTTGTGCAGAGAGAATGCCGAGTCCGTCGTTGTTGCTGCCGAATGTTTGGCCAAGGTGTCGAGACAGGATGCTTTTGAGTCCATCGTCGCCAGATACTGCTCAAGTTCTAGGTTTGGCTGTGCCGAGATGTCGAGAGAGGATGCCGAGTCCATCTTCGCCAGACACTGCTCAATCTGTAGAGTCTGATGTGGCAAGATGTCGAGAGAAAAAGCAGAATCCGCCGTCGTCGCCGCGATATACTGTAAGTGTTCCAGCTCTAATCTGGTCTGTAGGGCCAGGGTGTCGAGAGAGAATGCTGAGTCGTCGTGAGGTATATCGGATGTCTGAAAAAACAAATCTGAGCAACGTTGTTAGGAAAAAATAGGTACTTAACTTACCTGTGCGCCTTGAAGAGGCTCGGGATCCAGGTGTTGACTTAGTAGGTCGTTGAAGGCGCCACCAAAGGGGTTCGTGAACACGGGCCCAGGATAAAGCGGGTCGCAGGATGTCGCCGATGACTCGGAGGAAGGGAAAGATGCAGAAGTTGCCAGCAGAGAGAACGAATGAAGACTCGGCGAGGTGTGAGATAAGTTCGCGAATTGAGGGTCGTTCATCAACTCAGCCAGCTGCATCATGTCGTGCTCAGCCTTTAACTTCTCGAGGGTACGAAGGGCATATTCGGCCTTTGCCTCGCTAGGTCCGTTATTCCAGAGTTCTTCGATGATTTTGGAGATACCCTGCTGTGAACTGAAGGAGCCGTCAGCTGGCACGGGAAGAGGAGGCGCCATCTCAGTGCGATAGTGTATGAATGAGTGAGTCTGAAGGTAAGGGATGTTGTCGGGGATTGTGAGGTTATGCGAGAGCGCTTGAGATCGGCGATGATTGTCGAATAGTTGGTTGGTCCTCTGTCTGCCAAAGCATTGCATTTTAAGGGGTTTGAGAGTAGGGCAAAGCGTGCTTGTTGAAGGTAATTTGACGCGCCAAAGCACATAACTCTGAGTCGGGGGCTACATGGCTTGCTTTGACCCGCCACAACGATGGCCACGTCCAATTTCAGCTCCAAAGCAAAAAGTCATTCACAGGAGGGGAATAAAGCGTCTATCAGCCAGGGGTAAGTTAGATTTAAAATGGAGTGCCATCGCAGAGAAATTCAACCTTCTAGATGTAACCAAACGACTCAGAGTGAGTGGAGAACGTCAAGTGACTTTCCAGGTTCAAACGAGGTAGCAGCAGCCGTTCGGATTCCCACGAATAAGCGTCTCTCCGCTGCCTTCTGAATTTTGCATCGATGGCGAAAGCATTTAAATTACTCCCCGAGAGCCCTTGCTACAAGGCTTACGAAGAAACATCCGAGGGAAAGCACCTGATATTGCGTTAAACTCTACATGAAAACCCAATCTAAAAACCCGGAAAATGTATGTACAAATTTAGAGTCTGCAACGCATGGATCACTCCCCTGCAGTACGACTCCACGCTACGCCGAATGAACAGCTTAAGCGTTCTGGACGAGGTTGTTGACAGTGCCGGCGGCTAGAAAGAAGGTCAGGCGGTCAATGGTCGTCTTGCAGCACTTCTGAGGAACAGATACGCACGGATACCGCTGATAACACCCTTGACGCTCAAAGCCTTGAGGAGAACAGTGATGGCAGCGGGGGAGCTGTTGCCGTTCTTGCCGATGAGGTAGGCGATGAGACCAGCAACGTGGGGGGTGGCCTAGACAGATTGAGATATGAGTGAACAGCTCCAGTTTGGGAGAAGAAGGGTTGCGCACCATGGAGGTTCCGGAGATGTTGTTGGTGGCCTAAGTTCGAACGTACGAATATAAGAAGGTTGAAAGAGACTGATAGAAACGAGGGACATACGGTAGTGCCGCCAATCCAGGAGCTGATGACATTCTGGCCGGCAGCGAAGACATCGACGACGGCACCGTAGTTGGAGAACGAAGCGC